ACTGTTGGTACTGTTGGTACATGTTGGTACATGTTGGTACATGTTGGTACATGTTGGTACATGTCGGTACATGTCGGTACATGTTGGTACATGTTGGTACTGTTGGTAATGTTGGTACATGTTGGTACATGTTGGTACATGTTGGTACATGTTGGTACATGCTGACATCACAGCTTCATGTTCAGGTATAAACGACTCAGAGACACGTCCCTGAAGTGAGTCCACCAGAACCTCCTCATGGATCCATACCTTCACTCTTCTGTCCAAAGAACCAGATCATATTGGACCATCTGTACCCTCCAGCAGAATAACATGCTTCTCTGGACACATCAGAACCTCCTGAGATCCCACAGGGACCACTAAAACCCGGTTCAGATGACTCACCTGAGCAGTCGTCCCAGMAGCTCTGAGCTCTTGCTGAGCTTCTCCTCCTGCTTAGAGATGTTGGCCCCGCCCTCACTGCGGTCCGACCAATAAAAYGCAGAGATGCTGTCRATGAGGAGGAGCGCCAGGCTGGACCGCGAAGATAAGGTGGTCTCCAGGAAGTGCARGGTGAGGAGGAGCTGWGAGGAGGAGGAGCAGTGGACCACTAGGAGGCGAGAGAGACAGGAGCGCAGCGCCGCCTCGTTGGTCCCAGCTGAGGACGAGCTGGTGGACTGACCTGGGTCCACAGAAAACCAAACCTGAATCAGGTCTACAACTGASACTCAGCTCTGGAACTGTGAGACCTTGTGAACCTTGACACCTGGTCTTCTTGTGGTCTCACCTCCAGTGAGTCTGGTATCCAGGACGCTGACCAGCCGGAACATGTCCAGACTGTAGTCTGTGTCCACAAACATCACGTCCACCTCCAGACCGCCGGCGGCCTCTGGCAGCACGCAGCGACTCAGCAGGTGGTACAGCAGCTCCGTCTTACCTGAAACACACTGAGCTTACTGACTGGTCTGAGCAAGACCTGCAGAGCTGCTCCTGGACTCACCTGTCCCCTCTGGTCCAAACACCTCCACCACCTCACCTGACAGAATCAAACACACCGCAGTCAGAAACAACATGGCTGAACACATCTACTAACAGGAAGTGGGCGTGGTTCATAATCACCAGGGTCAGGTCCTCCATCATCAGGAAACAGGTGAGGTTCAATGTCATTTAGAGACCGCCGAGCCTCCAGACGAGCAAAGAGCTGCAGAGAACCCAGATCATAGACTGTACCAGAACATAGACTGTACCAGAACATAGACTGTACCAGAACTTAGACT